TCATTGAATTGCAGTTCGCAATAACAAACGAAAACCCGGTTGCCGTTCAAGTGAAACAACTACGAAACGCACTGCCCACAATGACATCTCTTCGTTTGTTGGGTATCGAGGCTGGTAACCAGACGGTACTTTCGAATACAAATGAGCGCGATTTGAGTCATATTTGGCAAGAGGTTTCTTCTTGCGTAGTTTTGCAACCGTTTTTAAAGTCGATCTTATGGCTTTATTGTCAGTAATTCTATCAGTTTTATGTTTGTGCTATGTAATCTTATTATTGTGGTTGGCATTGACGAAGTTGAAGATTGTGATGATTGGCAGAAGATGGAGTGAATGTGTGTTGTAGGGAATGGATTTTACATTGCCTGGTCACAGTTTTGCAGTGTTCAAATATACTTTAACGGCGCCGTCTGATCGAACGGTACTGCGCGATGTGTTTGTTATTGAGACTGATTTCGAGAGAATGTTAGTTGCTGTTTGCATCTTCGTTTTGAACGGTTGCTGAGAAAATGTAAAGCATAGAGATAAAAGCATTTTATGGTACAGCTCTTCTTCAGTTTTGGTGCATTCGAAAGCAAATTATCGCAACAATTTAAAGTTGAACCCAATTTTGTAGATTCAAAATTGGTACTGGGACACAAGTGATATCAGTGCATTTTATGCGTTTAAAATTTGTTTGAATGGGGAATTATTATAGATAACTGCTGTTACGTTTTATTTACATAAAAATGTATGATTAATGAAATTAATGGCGAGATTCAATTTAATTATTCAGATGTAAAAATTTTCGCTCGAATGACAGCAGCAGTTATTGCATTCATTATTGTCGTTGATGTTAAGCATTGATAATGTAGTGTGATCATTGAAAATGCAGGACGTATCCGGTGAAATATTCATTAGATGAAGGTGCGGTGGTATCTGTTCCTGAAAAGTTAACATTTAGACGTTCTTTTCCGGGTAAAATGAGTTCACAAGTATTGCAGGTATGTGTTGTGAATTTTTGATTGTTTATTCCACTGAAATTCCCTTTTTCAGTGAATTGATAATAAGTTCATCGAAAAATAAATCCTTTGATTTTACGTCGTCACTAAGCAGCAGATCGAAAGCTTTTATGATTTAATTTAGAGGTATATAAGATGTTCATTGTGATCGTGTATAGACTTATGTTTGAAATGCACCAGTGGAAGTGGGTAGTACTGCAGTTATTGCAATTACAGTTAGTCTGATGTTGATTCAGTGGTTCATTCAATCATTTAGCAATCAACTAGTCTAAATTTATAGTGTTTTATTCATCAAAAAGTTATTCTGTTGTAATGAAATGAAATTCAGTGCATTTACAATGCAAAAAGACAGCAGTCAGTCACATTTCAGATGTACAGCACATTCAAGAAGGACATGCAAGTGCTACGAATGTCATCGCTGTCGCACGACCCACGTATCTTCTTCGAGTCATTCCCAGCCAATAACCCACCCGTACTCAAGTCATCGCAACTCTCGAATCTCGGCCGTGTGCTTTTCATGCCTGGTGCAACATGTACTGATGATTGTTATGTGGGTATGTGTATCTTTTGTTTTTATGCTGCCGTTTTCGTTATGGCTATCATGAATTATTATTATTATTTTGCTTTATTGTTGCTCACCTTATTAAACTCGATTTCATTTTTTAAACCACGAATTGCGTGATATGGAAATGTGTTTCTTTTTTTTACCACTTCATTTTCGCTTCCTCATCTTCAGGCATGCCACTGCACACGGCCGATGGACAGTGGTTTACATATGGCATGAAATTGCCGCAGAATTTGGCCGAAATTGATTCTTACTTATATAAAAGGTGGGTGATTGCAGTTTTGAGTATTGTTGTTGCATTTATGTACACATTTTGATGATAAATTTAAATGTTCGGAAGATTCTATGAAGTCGAATAATTGTATTGTGAGAATGAATTTGTTAAAAGGAGACGAAATGAGTTCGGATAGAAAGAAGGCAAAGAGGCGATTGGTCGTTCACCAGATTGAGGATCGATTCTTTGCGTGATAATGCAATATGTGATGTGTATCGAATAGAAATAAATAGGTGTGGTTGATATTGCAGGCTGCGTCGAAAATGGTTGGCACTGAAGTCGAATGGCAAGCATTTGGTGAACGCAACGGTGGTCATTGATACTGATGATGTTCGTTGTTGATTTTATTCGTTTCATTCAAATGAGATTATTTATATATTCTTTTATGTCTTATTATGATTATTCACAGATCAAACTCATAAATCCGATCGCGTTGTTTGTTTGATAGTTATAGATTCATTAAGCATTGACGTTGTTATATATCTTTACCCTTGCCATTCAAAATAATGAAACAATATGTCCAAAAGTATGGCTGGCTTGATTTGATATTGCAGAGATGAGCATTCAGATGAGCTGACAGTTTCAGGTGAAACATTTGAGTGTTCCAGTGCAGGGTGAGCTTGTATGGCCCCGTCTTCTGACGCGATCCGTTGTTCATTTCCCTTTAACGGCTGTCGGGAATTTCACGGTGAGTCTTTAATTCATTTGATTACTTGAACTGAAATTCATGAATGCCATTTTTGATTTGAGAAAGAGGGTTTGTCAAATGTATTTTCCCGTTTTTTGAGAATTCAGATTATAAACTTAGCGCACATATTCACAGCATTTTTTCTCAATTACTAACTGCTGGTTTTGGTAATATCACCAGAATTGAATGATCACTCTGTTTCTCGGCTCTCACATTTCATCCTCAATAATGATAATAAAGGTGACGGTAATGCCGAAGAATTGAGCAAAAAGGGTTTTTTAAATATTGAATCTAGTTCTAGTAATAATAATAACGAATTTACTGATCGTACAAGCATGTACTGCAATTGATGAACGTTTATATATGGTATAATTCAGATCGTGAATCTGACTTTGACGAATCCGTCATCACTGCCAGTGGTGGTGCAGTTGCTGCCGTTAGTAATCTATCCGGATGCGGAGACTTTGGTCGAATTGTTCAAAGATGAATTGGAAGAGCCTTTAACAGATCCGATTGAAATGAATGAAACGTTGATGTTCTCGTTGAGGGATACCGAGTTATTCACACTGAAACGCGATAGTCCTGTGCCAAAGTTACGCGAACAATTGGAACGTGTTCTGGGCATTCAAATACCGAAGTTGGTGTTGTTGAGTTGTTTGTTTAACTGATGGATTATTGTTGGAGTTGAGAATGAGATTTGTTTGGGAACGATGAGGTGGTTTGTTGCAGATTCACTCTTTCGATGATGCTGCAACCGAGTATGAAAGTGCGCATTCGTGTGGGATTTTTGCCATCTGATTACACTCTTCGATCATCGTTGCTACTCATCAGGTAAGGTGCTGGTGGTGATTATTCACATACTTTTGTCGTATTTGATATTGTATCATCTCATCTTTATATTGCTAGGAATTTTGTGTGTATGTGAGATG